GCTCCCACAGGGAGAGCTCTGCTCAGCCACAAGCCAGGCTGACGGCTGCCAGTACAGCGATGGTGGTGGGAGCCTCTCTTGCCTCCTCAGCAGCGCTAAGGATGTCCGACTGCAGCTTAGGCCTGCTCCCCACTGGCAAGTGGACATCCCCCGAGGGCTCCCGGACTGCCAGAGGGATGTCTGACTGCCAGCTTAGGCTCAATCCCCCAGGAAGCGGGCCTAAGCCAGCAGGTGGTCATCCCCCGAGGGGTTCCAGACTGTGAGAGGGCACGGGCCGGGCTGAGGGACCCTCCCCCCCCCGAGTGCACAAATTTTTGTGCACCGGGCCTCTAGTGGAATATAAAATTGGAGAATGGACTGGTAATCCAGGAAGCCAAACAGTAACTTTAATAACATTTGGCCCCAAATGACCAGGATTTGATCAATCCCTGCCAGCTTCCTTAATTTTTGTCCTTCCTTCTAACTTAGAAACAACCAGATAGAGCAAGCCAAATTACACCCCAATAAATCATATAGGATGCCTGCTCCTGGTTAGCCTGCTAATAGGCTCCAATCAGGGCAGATCTAAAGCTGTCTCTTTTTTCCTACTATAAGGCTTTCCCTCCTCAGCCTGCTTTTGAGTCTGCCAAGTACAAGTGATAGCCTTTACTTTTCTCATTTGGTTCATCTTTATTTCCACAAAGGAGAAAAAAAACTATTTACATCTGAAATGATTAGCAACAACTATAGTTTATAAACTATTTTTATTTCCTGTGCTAGTTTAGTGATTTTTCTCCATGTTTTATAAACATTAAGGTTTATATTTTATAAAGGTGAAGACAGGGTTTTGTCATAAGGATTCTCTTTATTTATTTACATTGCATGGAAAGATGACAAGAAAAATCTGTCACTTAATAAAGAACAAAATCCTAGTCAAATTTTAATCGTAAGACCTTTGTCTCAAATATAGTTATTCAAAACCTTTTATTTGCTTTATTAAATCATAATTTAAAAAAAAGTCAGTACATGAAAGAAATTTAATGTGAACTGCAAATTAAATACATTTAGATTTTATTTATTACTAGAGGCCCGATGCACGAAATTCGTGCACTGGGGGAGGGGCTCCCTCAGCCCGGCCTGCACCGTCTGGCAGTCCTGGACCCCTTGGGGGATGTCCAACTGCTGGCTTATGGCTGTATGGCCTGCTGCTGCTGCACAGCCTGCTGCTTGAGCTTCAGCAGCTGCTGCATGTGCACGGGCTGGGCCACCACAGTCTGTTCTGCAAATATCCTCGAGTAGGTAAGTCGAGCGCAGAGGCAGGCTCACCCTGAGTTCCCTGTACTTCCCTGAGTCACTGAGTTGTTCAGACTGACTTCCTTCTACAGAGAACGGCACCAGGATCGGGCCTAAGCCGGCAGTTGGGCATCCCTCTTGCAGTCCGGGACCCCTCGGGGGATGTAGCAGTTGCCAAGCGGCAGGAAGCCAGGGAGGAGCCCGAATTGGGGCCCGGCACCATGCCACTCACGCTCATCCTGGCCCACTGCACCTGCTGCCGCCACTCAGTAGTGCTGCCACTGCTCAGTAGTGCTTCCGTGGAGTCAGGAGAGGCTCCCACCGTGGCAGCTGCCCTCACTAGCCATGAGCCTAACTTCTGGGTGAGGAGCGCTCCCCCTGTGGGAGCGCACTGACCACCAGGGGGTAGCTCCTGCATTGAGCGTTTGCCCCCTGGTGCTCAGTGTGCATCATATTAACCAGTTGTTCTGCTGTAACGGTTGCTTAGGCTTATATTAAACAGATGTTAAGAATACCCTTTTAGCCCAGGCCATGTGGCTCAGTGGTTGAGCATCAACCCTGGTTGAGTGTCAGCCCACGAACCAGAAGGTCACAGTTCAATTCCCAGTCAGAGCACATGCCTGGGCTCCATTCCCAATAGGGGACGTGCAGGCAGCCCATCCCAATCAATGAGTCTCTTTCATCATTAATGGTTCTCTCTCCCTCTACTTTCCTTTCTCTGAAATAAAATATATATATAACATTTTTTAAAAAGAATACCTTTTTATTGTTTTTAAAATACTAAACATGAATGTTAAGTTTTATCAAATATTTTTCCATCATTTACTGTTTTTATTTAACCTATTAGTGTAATATATAAAGAGATTCCATATAATTGAACCTTGTATATGTTCCTAAAATAAACTGCTTGGTTTGGTAATTATTTTTTTTAAATACTCTTAATCTATTCACTAATGTTATAAAGGTTCTGTCAATTTTTTTTTAATATATATTTTATTGATTTTTTTACAGAGAGGAAGGGAGAGAGATAGAGAGTTAGAAACATCGATGAGAGAGAAACATCGATCAGCTGCCTCCTGCACATCTCCCACTGGGGATGTGCCTGCAACCAAGGTACATGCCCTTGACCGGAATCAAACCTGGGACCCTTGAGTCCGCAGGCCAACGCTCTATCCACTGAGCCAAACCGGTTCCGGCCCTTGATTTTTTTTTATGATTGAATGACTAATTGGCTATATTAAAGTCCGCAGGCCGACGCTCTATCCACTGAGCCAAACGACCTCCGGCCCTTGATTTTTTTTTATGATTGAATGACTAATTGGCTATATTAAACAGTTTTGAAACTGAAAAGAATTAGTTTTTTATATGTCTAGTGCTTTATTTTACTGACATTATTCTCTATTTGTTGTTTTAATTTCTGTTAACAGATATTCCCTTAGGAGAGGTAGCTCCTTCACATTTTTAACACCTGGACCCCACTGGGACTTCACTTTGGTGAGTAGATGCCTAGGTTTTTATTTCAAGACATTAGATAGAATTATTTCCTGGGTTGTCTTTCAGTCTGGTGTACAGCTCAGTTGTCTGTATTTCTTTCAACATCTTTAGTATCCTAATTTATCCTGCTAACAAACTAAAAGACATTTTTATTTCAACTAAATATAAAACATGTTTTGGAAAGAAACATTCATCTTTAACTCTATGTAAACCTTTCTCTTATTCCCACCAGTGTTAAAGTTAAAAGAATGTTATGAAACATTAATTTATTTTTGTTACATACTCTAGCAGCTTTTTTCTTGGTTGAAAAATATAAAAATGTAGGATATGAGGAATGAATTGCTTTCTGTTATTAATCATTTTAGTATAGAGGGACTTCTTCATTATCTTTAGAATGAGATTTATAGAGACATCTAACTGCGCAAAGTGACACCTGAAAATTAATTATTTTTGTAATTAAAAACACATTACTTCTTAGTACTCACCTAAACAAAGTATGTACAAATAGAGCATGATTTTTATGCTGTTCTTATTTATTTGAAATAGCAAAAGTGACTCTATTTCTAGCATGCTAAACTTTACTTGTGTGCCCGTAATTATGTGCTGATGGATACATCAGTACATATTTAATTTGTATTCTATTCTTTTGTCTTTAATTTATATTTCTGTTGGGGACTCCTGTTCAAGACTTCTGTACTCTTATACTAATTATATACATTAATTGGCGAGATAAGCATTCACAGAAAGTATCTTTTGATTTTAATGCAATTCTGTATTTCCTTTGCAACTTTTTTCATCTTGATCCTTTTCCCTTACTATCTGATGAGCCTACACTTAAACAAAAAGTTTAGAAGTGTTTCTAAACTTGATTTGCAAACCTATCAGCAAAAATATTTGAGCATCTGTCCCTGGTATGTTTATTTATAACTTTTGTATATACCACCATTATTAATTAACTAGGGACCCAGTGCATGAATTCGTGCACCTTGAAAGGAACTGTGGGCCACGAGGCTGCGGTAGGCACAGGGGCAGATCTCAGCCCAACCTCCATGACCCCGCCCAGCCCCTCCTGCTGCGGTCCCCTGTCCCGTCTGCAGGCAGCCCCACTTTCGCTACCACTGCTCCCACGCGCTGATGGCGCCGGCCCTGGCTTGATGACAGCGCTGACCTTACTCGCGCCCGCTGATGGCATGGAGCAATTGGGGCCAGCGTCAGCAGGTGTGAGTGGGGCTGGCGCTGTCAGTGGATACAAGCAGCGGCTGCTGCCCCTATAGCCCCTCAGGAGCAAGGGGAGGTGGAGAAGTCCTCAGGGGTGATCAAGGCTGGCAGGTGCCACTTGCACCCGCTGATGGCGCCTTGTGATTGGGACTGGCACCGGCAGCAGGTGCATGCGGTAGCTATGGCACAGGCTGAGGGTGTGAGTGCCAGGCAGGACCGTGGCACGGGAGCAAAGAATTTTCAGTAACCAACAGAGGCTCACCCCGATGACAGTGACAGGCGCCCTGCCTTGTTTTGGTTCCCCCACTCACCTCCACCATCCCGCCATGGCCAATGCCCACCATGTTCTGCACACGCCCCCCTGGTGGTCAGCGCACATCATAGTGACCGAATGTTTGGTTGTTCCGCTGTCAGTCTATTTGCATATTAGCCTTTTATTATATAGGATTTTCTCAAAGCACAATACACATTAAGAGTGAAGTTAATGATACTGGACATAAAAATATATTTCAGGTAGCCATGATAATTTCAGTTTGGGACTCACTTCTTGTTGGATCTGATTAGATCGCTATTTTTCTTAACCATATAATGTGAGTACTGATTAACTCATCATCCATATATTAAATATTAGTAAAGCTTATTTTTAAGGATTAAGAAATACATAAAAATAAAAGTTCTAACATTTTCCTCCTGCCCACCCCAGGGAAGATACCTTGCATATCCTCCAGGATGGGTACATCCCACTAGGGAAAACACTTTTGTAGAGGTCTGCCATGACAAAAGAAATATCTTATTGTTTATATATTAAAACTTTTGGAATGTCATTAAGGAATTGTAAGAGGGATATTTATAATTTTTAAATACATAGTTTAAGAAAAGAACAAAAATTGGTGAATTAAAAATGGCAGCAGAGTAGGAGGATGCTGCAAGGACATGCTCCCAGGAACAAGCTGGAATTACAACTGAAACATGGAAAGGCTTTTTGAATAATCAATGGTAAACTCACATGAGAGTACCCTGATACCCAAGGACCAAAGATGGAAACCGCATAGAGACTGATAGGAGGGGCAGAGGCACGAAAGGGCTGGCTGGGCACCCACAGATGGCAGCTGAAGTCCTGGAGAGGTATCTCAGCTGTGGGGGGTGCCACTGAGAATTCTGGAATCTAATCCCAAAGCTGGGCTCCCCAGCAGAGAGCACAAAACTGAGGAAGGTCCCAACATAACATCTAGCTGTGAAAAACAGTGGGGTGCTATCTGTCAAGGAGTGGCAGCTGAAAGTTTGGGCACCCTCTTAAAGAGTCAGCACACAAAAATTCCCTGTGGAGCCACCCACCTTGTGCTCTGGCAGAGGGAGGGGGAAGTGGAATGGAGCTATGAGACCAGAACCCAGGACTCAGGGGATAGAGCTCAGAAGGCAGACACCCCAAGTCTCCTGGTCTGAGTCATTCCCTCACACAGTGGAGGACATCTTTCTCACACAGACCTTTGCCTTGCAGGGGGGATGGAGGGGAGAGATGACACACCTTATTGGAAAACATCTTGCCCTGAGGCCACTTAAGAGATTAAAAGTAACAATTAGCCTCTAGGCAGAAGCAACTGCCTCACCTTGTTGAAAAAAACTCTCCCCCCACCTGAGGACGATTGCCTGGGGGCAATTCAAGTCAAAATCCTATTAGTCTGTAGACAGAGGTGGTCGCTGGAGACTTTGAGTCTTTGCCTGATCCATTTAGTCAGAAACAGCTTTTAACACTGTCCTGCACTAGAGATTGAGAGGTGTGGAGGATCAACATAAAACATAGTCACAAACCCAAACAGACAACCAAAATGAGGAAACAAAGAAACAACCCCCAACTGAAAGTACTAGTGAATTCTCCAGAAGAAGAGATAAATGAGGCAGAGATAAGAAATTTATCTGAAACAGAGTTCAGAGTAATGTTGTTAAAAATGCTCAACAGTATGAAAAAAGATATAGTATCTATGAAAGAACAGTCTGAGATAAAGAATGACATAACACAAATAAAGAACACATTGGAAGGAATACACAGCAGATTAGGGGAAGCTGAGGATTGAATCAGTAAATTAGAAGAATTGAAAATATCATTCAATTAGAGAACCAAAAAGAATAAAACAATTAAAAAACAGAAGGACAGCTTAAGGGAGCTGTGGGACGATGTGAAATGTAACAATGTTAGTAAAATATAGGTTTTTTACTATATTTTAACATATACAAGTGATATACAAAATAGCAGGTGTGCCAGACGAGGCAGAAAGGGAGAAAGGAATAGAGAAGGTGTTTGAAGAAATAATGGTAGAAAACTTCTGTAACCTGGTAAAAGAAAAAGTCACACAAGTTCAGCAGGCACAGAGAACCCCAAACAAGAAGAACCCAAACAGACCCATGCCCAGACACATCATAATTAAAATGCCAAAAAATTAAAGACAGAGAATCGTAAAGGCAACAAGAGAAAAGAAAAATTACCTACAGATGAGTTCCCATAAGGCTGACACCTGATTTCTCATCCAAAACTCTACAGGCCAGAAGGGAATGGCATGAGGTACTCAAAGTAATGGAAAGCAAGGATCTGAGACCAAGATTACTATATTCATCAAAGCTATCATTCAAAATAGACAGTCAAATAAAGAGCTTCCCAGCCAAAAAAAAAAGGCTAAAGAAGTTCATCACCACCAAGCCAGCATTACAAGAAATGCTGAGAGTGGTTCTCAACCTTCCTAATGCCACGACCGTTTAATACAGTTCCTCATGTTGTGGTGACCCCCAACCATAAAATTATTTTCGTTGCTACTTCATAACTGTAATTTTGCCACTGTTATGAATCGTAATGTAAATATCTGATATGCAGGATGTATTTTCATTGTTCGTGACCCACAGGTTGAGAACCGCTGGCTGAGAAGAAAAAACAGAGAAACCTAGCCATACAGAATTAAAATGGCTATAAATAAGTTCCTCTCATTAATAACCCTAAATGTAAATGGATTAAATGCTCCAATCAAAAGGTGTAAGGTAGCTGAATGAATACAAAAACATGACCCAACTATATACTGTCTATAAGAGACCCACCTCAAAACAACACACACACAGGATGAAACTGAAGGGATGGGGGAAAAAATTTCCATGCAAATGGAAAAGAAAAAAAAAGCTGGAGTAGCAATACTCATATCCAACAAAATAGACTTTAAAAGCATCATGCTAAGCAAAATAACTCAGAGAAAGATAAATATCATGATCTCACTCATTTGAGGAATATAATGAACAACTTAAACTGATGAACAAAAATAGAGCTAGACGGGGGAAAATATACTAGAATATAATAGAAGTAACCCTGTTATTTGCAGATTTTTAATATTTCCCACAACTTTTGTGATATCATACTATGTCAGTACAGTTTTGGTAATATTACACTTAAAATTCTTTTATGCTTGAAATATTAATGTTTATTGCATGTAATATTACTATATGTAAGAGCATTTTTTTAATATAGTTTATTGGTTTTTTACATAGAGGAAGGGATAGGGATAGAGAGTCAGAAACATCGATGAGAGAGAAACATCGATTAGCTGCCTCCTGCACACTCCCCACTGGGTATGTGCCCGCAACCTAGGTACATGCCCTTGACCGGAATCGAACCCGGGACCCTTGAGTCTGCAGGCTGATGCTCTATCCACTGAGCCAAACCGGTTAGGGCTGTAAGATCATTTTTTTGAATAATTGGTGTTTATTGCATGCAACATCATATTTAAAATTGTTTTTCTTGAGATATT